AGATCGGAGCACTATATCTTATAGCTGTCATAGGAACGATCGGTCAAATAGCCGGTTCTTGTATGGAAAACTTTTTTGTTTATCAAGATATCGTGACAAAACTCGACATTTACTTTTTTTAACTATGCTCATCATATGTATACGGGGAAAGTCTTATCAAGATCACTTTACTATATTATATAGCTCTATAGAAAGAATCGATCGAAAAATTAGTCAAAATATTCGGTTTTCCGAGTTATTTTCATGAAACTCTGCATTTACGACAACCTTAAATGTCTACAAGGGTATTAGATCTTCGGCATGACGAAGATATCCTTTCTACCTTCATTTCTTTTGTCCGTCCTTTCAGACAGAACATCCATACTTCCGACTTAGGCATATGTGCTGTCTGCAACATATATGTATATACATCGGGAATATATATATATATATATATATACATAGGAAATTATCGATAGTTAATTGAGTTTCATCAAGGAAACAATGAAGTTTTGTGTGTCTATGCCTAGATAAATGTAAATATAGCTTCCATATCTTCCATTTCTCTGCCAGCATATATATTTATATATTATCTACGAAGAAGATCTAAAAGAAGACAAATTCAAATGCAAAGATCTTAGCAGATACGCTGAATCCAGCGCCCCATGCTATGCATGCGAAAAGGATTCTCTAAGAAGTTCGGTGCTTATAGTCCGATCCTTGCGAAATTTTCAAGTCTTTAATATGACACCTATGTATATATATATCTCTATCGATTTTGATCGATTCGTTGGCAACAGAGACTCGCCTGGCTAGGAGAAGCTTTCCACTAACAACTAGCCAAGCTACCCTTTTGACACATATGCAATGGGTATGTAAATCACGTTGGCCTTCCCTCAACAAACAACAAATAAAAAAAAAAAAACACGTCGCTGCACACCTTTTGCTAAATTTAACAAGAATTTCAATTGTTGCTATTGCTATTTGTTGTTTACTAGACACTTTCAAAAGCATTAATCATATAGTTGTTGTTGCTGTTGTTGTTGTTGTTGCTGTTGTTGCTGCTGTTGTTGCAGGCGACAGTGTCAAAGCCAATGTGAATAGTTGCCCAATTTGTTGAGCTAGCTGAACAACAACAACAACAGCTGCAATTGCCTGCATTCGCTTTGGTCAGTTGAACAGCAGCAACATCCACAGCAGCAGCAGCAACATCTACTGCAACGGCAGTAACACCTCGCCTCGCCTCGCCCCTCCCCGCCTGCAATACTTTTTAATTGTTTTGTGCCTTTCGGTCCGGCAATTTCCATTTTGATTTCCATGCTTGGTTGCATGCGATCAAACAGCTCCCCCCCCCCCCCCCCCCCTCTCCACCCTTTGGACGCCTCTGGCTGACGGCGCAGCGACCCCTTTTTGGCTAGCAGCAATTTGTGGGGTTTGTTACGCTTTAGCGGAATTGCGCCAAATAACTTGGCAAGCCTATTGCCAGCAACAACAACAACAACAGCAACAACAGCAACAACAACAGCAACAACAACAGCAACAACAACAACAACAATCGAAGCCACGTCACAGCGTCCAAAATAAATTGTACTTTATTGTAAAAATAAACGCACATCAAAATTCAAATGAAACACAAATAAAAATTGTTTCAATTAAATAGAAATATTTTTGATTGTTATTATTTTTTTTTATATTTATCTGTTGTTGTTTTTGCGCCTCTTTGTTGTTGTTGTTATCGTTGTTGTTTTTCTTTGTTTGCTTGTGTTTATTTTTTTTTGGCCCACATTGAAAGCAAAATGTTTAGCAAATTAGTTTTGTCTTCGTTTTTATTTTATTTAATTTGCTTTTTCGCCTTTGTGGCTTTCGTTTTTTATGCGCTGAATCCATTGGAAATGACCGAAAAAAGGGTATCTTGATTTTGTGCGCACATTTCATAAAACAAGATCGGACTTTAAGCACCGAGTTCTTATGATATCGAAGAGAAGCTGAAATATATTCAACGGCAGCTAGACGATGTTTCGAGGGTATCTGCCAGTCATGCACTCCCGTCTAGAGCACTTTTCTGTTTTCGCTGGCTTTGTTTAAGTTGTTCAATGCTTTTTCTTAAAGCAAAGCAAAAGAAAAATACAAATTAAGATTAAAGCGCTGAGCGCAATGTGTGAAAGTTGAAATACACTGACAAAAAATTTTTGCAAGTCGAATTGGAATTACTTTCACACGATAGATAGTTCGAGAGAGAGAGAGAGAGAGAGAGAGAGAGAGAAGATGAGAGAGAGGGAGAGTGAGTGTGAACAATTTTAACTTGCATTTACTCAAAAAAACGACATTAATTTGAATTTCCGCTCATTTTACACCTGCCAGCGTGAATTTGTCAAAGTGGATTAAGCAAAAGATGCTTATTTTGAGGCAAGACCTTTGAAAACTTGAAGAGAGACCGATTTATCATAAAGTTAGCCCAAAATTGGGTAAAATATGAATTTTTCTTCACCTAGAAACCAAATTTTTCGAAGCATGTGGACCTCATATCAAAAGCTGATTGGAAAATTGTAAATAAATAACATCAAAATTTCCTACCTGTTGCATATTGTCCCAGCAAATCTATAAGACACTGCGCATTGTGTAAATACCCTAACCAAAATAAATATATATATACATATATGTATAGACAGATATATGCATATATATTTATGTCTATATATATTTAGTCGAGTTAAATGTTTTTGTGAATGCGTACAAACGAAAATTTGGAAAAATCTCGCTCGCCCTCAATCTGTCTATCTCGCTCTCTCTCGCTCTCCCTCACTCTCCCACACTCTCCCTCTCTCTCTCTCTCTCTCTCTCGCGCTACGTGCTGTGTGTATTGCCTAAATAATCCCCAAGCCAAAAATAGCTCTCGACGTATATTCCAACTCACGAAACGTGTTCGAAAATTCGAAAAAAATTTTTGTTGTTGTTTTTCTTTTTCTTTTTTTTCTTCGTATTTGTTGTTATTTTTGAAATATTGTGCTAGCCAAATTTGGTCAAATTGTTATTAAGGCAAGCCCGAGGAAATAACGAGAAAAACCAAAATAAAATGCCCAATCGGAGGCGTGGCCAAAGGGGAGAGCAGAGGGGGAGAGGGTGGAGAGGGGGGTGACTAGCACAGCTGTCAGTTGGTTGCATTTGGCAGGGTGGGAGGGGAGGGGGAAAAGTCGGAAAACAGAACGTCCGAGACGAAATACCAAAATATACGATATATAGTTTTAGAATTTTTCATTTTTCATTTCTTTTTTTTTTGCACTGAATTTTCGGTGCTTTTCCTTATTTTGGGCACAAGTCAAATGCGGGCAAACGCTGCGTATACTTAATTTAATTTGCAATATGCACACATTTTATTGTTGGACTCAAATATAGCTCAAATACTTCAGATACAGTTGCCCGATAAGTTATATATGTACATGTTGGTAACCAGCTGGAAATGGGATAAACTAATAAACCATTATTTATTTATGTTGAGTTCGTTTAACTGAAGCCTCATCAAATGCGATAAAAAGCACAAGTTATGCTGTTTCAGCCCGAAACCCATTGAACATGGTTAAAATGAAGTGAGCAGAGTATATTGACTATATGCCAATGTATGTAACAGGCGGCAGGAGACATATCGTATTCCAAGAGATATAGAGAGTATATACTTATCCAGCTTCGATAACTAACTCGATAAAGGTCAAGAACTTGAAGATCGTCTTGATTCCACATTATCGATAATTTCCCGAATGTGGAATGCAGCACGACGGCAGCAGGCATCTCGCACCCCAAGAGTTATAGAGTATATGGCGTATAAAGAGTCTTGTTCAGCGACTCGATCTATAACTTGAAGTTCGAGTTGATTCCACATCTTCGATAACTTCTCGAGTTGCTGCTAAATCGATTAAATATCGATACAACTATTTAAGAGCCAGAGACAACCTATTTAGAATCCAGCTGGCTTTCTTTCCCTTTCTCTCTTCCGTCCGAAAGAACATATTGAGAATCCATCTGATTTAATTTCTAAAAAAACCTCTCACCCAGAACGTTCACCTTCTGAATATCTTCCTTTCCTCCACCCAAATGTTTCAATAAAGCGCCTTGCGCTTTCGCACACACATTTCCACATCTGCCACATTTCACAAAGATCGGACTATGAGGACCGATCTTAAGCAGAGATTCTCCGACATAAGAAGCACAGCAGCGTGCTTTGAGAAACAATTTCAAATTGAAACAAATAATTCAATTAAAATTCCTGTTTTCGACAGCAAAGCTGAAAGAGGCATAACAAGAAATTCTAAATTTTACGAATGTTGTTTTTGCTACTAACGTACGAAAGGGTATATTGCTTGTGTGCCAAAAGCTAGAGTAGCCCAAAGTCGTGGATATTCGCTTTGGTTTTATGTTTATTGTCCGATTCGTAATGCTCCATACAGTTTGACAAGCATTTGCTACAGTTTTCGAGTCTCGAAAGGAAAGAAATTGATGAAAACCAAAGTCGATTGACGCGGCGTATGCGCAATATGCTGCGGCATTACGCATACGCCAGGTATGCTGGCAGCATTTATTTGTTGATGCTGCGCGAATAATTGGCTCATGGCGACAAAAACAAAAAAAAGGCAGCCGGAAGAGACAACAAATTCGTCTACGTCTGGCCATGGCTAAGGACGACAAATTGCTTCGATTTTGTTTTTTTTGTATTTTTTTTGTATTTTTTGTGTTTCTTTCACTTCTGGGAGGAGGGGGCTGATTTTTGGCTAGCGTTGCCGGCGAATGCGCTCATCGGTTTTATTTAGAGCCAAAGTGCCAAAGAGCCAAACGGCGCAGCGGCTAAGAAGAAGAGCTAGTAGAAACAGCTGGCGTTTGCTTTTCGCCACGCACTGTAGCTGCCAGCCACACCAAAGGGGGCCGCGTGTGGGCGGCACACAAAATTTTCCGGTTGATAAACAAAAAAAATATATCGAAGAAGCAAACAAAAAGAGCATTCGCTGATTTGTGTTTCGTTTTGCGCATTTCAGGTGAAAACGACGCGCATCAGCAGCAGCAGCTACAGCAGCAAAGCTGGCAGCAACAGCAACAGCAACAGCAACAGCAGCAGCAGCAACATCAACAGCAGCAACAGCAGCAGCAGCACTCGGAAGAGCACATCCTCAGCACCAGTTACACGCACAACTTGTGACATCGAGGAGATTTGGGACGAGCAGTTACTGAGGCAATTGGTATGTCTGTTAACATAACCTCAACAAAAAAGCGCACGCAGCGTTGCCAGCTTGTCATGAGATTATTTCGAACATAACCTCAACAAGAGTGCGCGTTGCCAGCTTGTCATGAGATTATCTTCCAACATAACCTCAGCAAGAGTGCGCGTTGCCAGCTTGTCATGAGATTATCTTCAACATAACCTCTAAGAAAAGCCACGCAGCGTTGCCAGCTTGTCATGAGATTATCTTTCAACATAACCTCAACAAGAGTGCGCGTTGCCAGCTTGTCATGAAATTATTTCTAACATAACCTCAACAAAAAAGCGCACGCAGCGTTGCCAGCTTGTCATGAGATTATTTCCAACATAACCTCAACAAGAGTGCGCGTTGCCAGCTTGTTATTTGTTTTGCTAAATACTAAACTCGTTTGTTTCCCTCAGCTGGAACAGGCGTCCACATACGAGGAGCGTCGCAAGATCCGTGCACGTTTACGCGAACTTATGGCGGAACGCGAAGGTAAGTCATCCATTGCAATAGTTAAAGCCCGATCCTAACCTCAGCATAAATGCCAGCACTTGATGCAAAGGAGTTTGGCCGTCGACAAGTGCCAAGATGATATTTAAAGGGTTACGGTTTAGCTCTCTCTCTCTCTCACTATCCTTTTCTTACTCTAACTACCTTTCTCTCTCACACACACACACACACAGACTATCTCTGGCCTTACTATAGCTTCTGATTGTGTTCTGTATTTGTATCTTGTAGATATGCAAACAGCGCATACTCGTAGCTAGGCTAAAGTAATATAATAGAGCGATTTATCCAGGACAGGTATTGCAAATTACTCGTCGTTCAGTCAGACATACATATATCATCGTCTATTTACATTTACATGACTATATTCATTATATATGTATTTTCATATTCATCAATTATATTTATGTACGCGTTCTCGTTACTCGTCCACTCGTTGTTATTTCAATCGTTTTTCGTTAACTCGTTCAACGTGCCCCCGTTCAATGTTCACTCGTCCGTTTAGTCGCTATAATTTACAATGGTGAACGTTCAATTATTAAACGCTTATTCGTCATTTCTTTAACTTGTCGATCGTTTAACATTCACACGTTCAACATTTACCCGCTATAATTTACCTTGATGAACGTTCAATTATTAAGCGCTTACTCGTTATATTTTTAACTCGCTGTTCGTTCATTGGTTGAACGTCGTTTTACTCGTTCAACATTTACTTGCTATAATTTACCCTGAAGAACGTTCAATTCTTCAAAGCTTACTCATCATTCTTTGATTCGTTGTTCGTTGATCGTTCAACGTTCACGTTCGTTGGAGGCTCAATCTTCAAACGTTTACTCGTTATTCCTTAACTCGTTCAACATTCGCTCGTTCAAAATGTACTACTTTATAATTTAATTCGTTTGACTTTCAGTCGTTAAACGCTAAGTCATTGCTCTTAGATTCGTCGTTCGATTATTCGTTCAACGTTCACTCGTTGAACATTTACTCGTTACATTTTATTTCATGCGACTTCCACTAGTTAACTTTTGCTTACTCGTTATTCTGCGACTCGTTGTTCGATTATTCACTCGACATTCACTCGTTATTCTTTAACAATAACTCGCTCAATGCTCTCAATCGTTGCTCTTGAACTCGTTGAACGTTCACTCGTTAAACACATTAATTCGTTATTCTTAAACTCGTTCTGCGTTCACTCTTCTTCAACGTCACCCGCTCAATGTTCACACGTTCAAACATTTTTACTCGCTCACGCGTTCACTCGTTTTTTTTTTTTTGTGTTGTTCTCTCGTTGCTTGCACACTCGTTACTTGTCTCGCCAAAGGCCCAGCAGGCTTACCATCGTATCAGCTGCTGCTCGGCCCTTGACGTGCTCCCAACAAAAACTCCAAATTCTCTCTGTCTCTCTCTCTCTCTCTTGCTCTCTAGCACTCGTTGCCACAACGAACGAGTTGTGTAGATTTGCAGGACAGCGTCCTGTCCTGTTTTACCCCCCCCCCCCCCCAGTTTCGAACGCTTTGCTTATTGTGAGCCCCATCCAAATCCTATTGTTTCTTGTTTGTTGTTGTTGTTGTTTTTCTTTATGAATACTTGTATACATATATATATATCTCTCTCTTTCTCTTTTATATATCTCTCTCTCTCACTCTCTCTCTCTCTCTCTGTCTCGCTCTATCACACTCATGTACACACTGTAAATTTCATGCACATTCGTAAAAAAAAAAATCGCTCGAAATTTGTTTGCGTCGCGCGTTTTCGTAGAGCAACAAAATTTAAAGGCGGGCGGTGAAAAGGTCGCTGCCAAAGAAGAGGAAGAGAGCAGCGCCAGCGAATATGAGGAAATAATTGAAGAGGTCACCGACGACGACGACGACGACGACAGCAGCGACGAGGAGCAGCAAGCGCCAGCCAAGCCCAAGGAGACGGAGAAGGAGAAGGAGAAGGAAACGGAAAGCATCGATAAAAAGCTGGCCAAAGTCGAGCTCAGCAAGCAGGTGGTCAACAAGCAGCTGCTGTCCGACAGCCAAGTGGACAGTGTGGTGCAGGGTGAGTCCCCGCCAGAACCAGAACCAGAACCAGAGCCTCAGCCAGAGCCAGAGCCAGCACTAGGAGCAACTGCAGCAGCAGCAGCTGTCAGCAGTAGTCATAGCCTTAGCAGTAGAAAAGTCAACAGTAGCCTTAGCAGTAGCCAAAAATCTAGCAGCACAGTGAAGCCACAGACTAAAGACCCGACGACAGCGAACAGCAAGACGAATACCAATCAGCAGCAGCAGCAGCAGCAGAAGGAGAAGGAGAAGGAGAAGCCAGCTGCTGGCATGTCTGGGCCGCAGCTGAAGCGGCTGAGTGTGCCGCAAAAGGAGGATTCGGGCACGGAGAGCGGCGAGGATTTGCGCCTGCTGGCCGCCGGGCTGCGCGACACGCTGCAGCTGCAGCAACAGCAGCAGCGCAGCGATGCGAATCGCGGCCTGCTCGACGAGGTAACCGATGCGCTCAGCCGGCTCGAGTGCAGTTTGAAGCTCGGCCAGGAGCTGGCCGTCGATGGTGGGCAGCGGCAGGCGCTGCTCACGCTAATTGCGCGCCTCCAGAGCGGACTGAATGCGCCCGCAGCTGGAGCAGGAGCAGGAGCAGCTGATCCACAAGCGGCAGCGGCAGCGACGGATCTGGGCAATGGCGAACCGGAGCTGGGCGGAAGGCAGCGTTTCGCCAAGCGGCGGCAGCGCAGCAATCGGCACACGGTCGGCGTCAGTCGCGAGGAGCTAGCGGATGCGCGTCGCTACATGGAGGACATGCTCATGCTGGAGCAGCACGCGGTCAAGACGTCGGCGCCAGTTGCAGAGCCAGAGCCAGCGCCTGCGCCGTTGCTGGTTCGATCTCTGGAGCGCAATGCCAGCTCGAGCGCCATTGTGGGCGCGCCCAGCACACAGCTATACAGGCCAAATCAGTTTGTCGCCGCGCAGCTGAAGCCGCCGCAGCCGCAGCCGAGGCGTCCGCTCTCGGGCGACTATGCGGTCAGCTTTGCCAGCTATGCGCCGACGCAGACGCCGACGGAGCTCGTGCCGGCGACGACGCGTTTTAATGGCGGCAAGAAGCAGCTGATGAAGCGCGCCAATACAATTGATATACCCAAGGTGAAGGCGAAGTACAACAGCGCCGACTGCGACAGCGACTCGGACGAGGAGGAGCACAGTCGCAGCAGCCAGACGGGGCCAAATCTCGGCCTGAAGCGCGCCGTTCAGGTGAGCGTAAAGCGGCGCGTGCAGCAGGTGGTGCCGCCGTTTGAGCCCAAAACCGAAAATGATCACAAGTTCCTGGCGTTCATCAACAAGCAGAGCCACCAGGGCGGCCTTGGCTGGGCGGGCGCCCGATCCGTCTCCAACTGGACGCACAAATTCGGCAATATCAAGCACACGTTCGAGACGGGCGCCGCGGCAACCGCAACCAAGGGCAAGCCGCCGCAGCCGCCGCAGCCGCCCAGCCACCAGCAACAGTTGCTCCGGGAACAGCAGCAGCAACAACAGCAACAGCAGCAGCTGCAGCAGGCGGCGCTGCTGGAGCGCCAGCGGCGCCAGGAGCTGGAACGCCAGCTACGCCTAGAGCAGGAGGCGCGATTCGAGCGGGAGCAGCGCGCCCGGCTAGAGCACGAATACTACGAGCAGCAGCTGGAGCGCCAGCAGCTGGAACGGCAGCAGCAGCTCGAGCGCCAGCGGCAGCAGCAGGAGCAGCTGGAGCGGCAGCGCCGTCAGGAGATGGAGCTGCGCATGCAGCAGCAAAGGGAACGTGAACGCGAGCAACAGTCGACGGCGACAACAGCAGCAACAGCAGCAGCAGCAACAACAGCAGCAGCAGCAACAACAGCAGCAACAGTTGCTGGCGGCGCGCCGCTTAATCAATTTATACACGCGCCGCAGTCCGTGTTTCGGCCCATTGATCAGGGCCCGGCGCCGAGCATATACAAGCCCATTGCCCAAAAGGTCGGCAGCAGCTGGCAACCAACGGCAGCAACAGTTGCCGGCAACAAGCAACAGCAACAGTTGCTGCCGCATTCCGGCTACAGCAACACGCCGTCGCCGTCGCCCGCCTCGACGACGGCCAACTCGCCCATCGGGCTGCCCTGGCTGGCGAAGCCGCGCGTCGACAACAGCGACTTCAAGCGCAAGGCCCACCACTTCGAGGCCTGCTCCCTGCGCGACCAACTCGAGCAGCAGCAGACTACGTCGTCGCCGAGCGTCTACGTTCAGCGTCACAATTCGTTGCGCGCGAAGGCGCCGCCGGCGACGCTCAGCGAGTTCCGGAAACGTCCCTCGCTGCCCAATGCCATGCAGCCGGAACTGGAGCTCTATCAACAACAGGCGGGGCCGGCGCCTCCGCCGCCGACCAACATCTCCTTTACATATGCGGACTATCCGCCCGCGCCCGCGCCCGCGCCCATGTCCGTGCGTCTGGCCAATTATCGCAGTCAGCCGTGTTTGAGCAGCATTGGTGTTGATCTGGAGCCGCTCACCAATCCGCTGGCCGCGCCCCTTGTGCTGACCAGCGCGAATCCCACATTTGTGCCGGGCCAAACGTTCGACTATGCCAGCCCGTTGGACAGCCCGACCAGCTGCCTGACCGCGCCCGCCTTTACGGACAACACGGACGACGACCTGGACCTGGACTCGGATCACAATATGCACGAATACCGTGCCGAGATCAAGGTCATGCGCAAACCGCGCAGCCAGACGGCAATCACTGTCGCACCGCGACGCGCCGCCCATGTCAGCGACGACGAGGTGTACGGCCGGAATTCGCGTGCCGCCAAATCCTTGCTGTACACCATGAAACAGCTGGGCGGCGGCAGCACGGGACAAAGCACAAGTGTTGCGGGCCGGGGCAACAAGCTGCCGCAGCCAATGACCGCGCCCAGTTCGCCCAGCAAGCCGGGCTGCCTGTCGCCCGACGGACGCATGTACCAGGCGCCGCTCGTCGAGCCGCTCTTCCCGCAGCTCAGCAGCTTCGAACCGAAGCGCCGGCCGCAATACGCGCAGCCAGCTCCTCCGGCCAGCTATCTGGGCGAGCCGCAAACCTCCTACGTGGTCACCTATCCGCTGGAGGATTCGGCCGATGAGCACGAGTCGAGCGCCAGCTTGAGGGAGCGCGCGCGACGCACCTCCGAGCACTCCACGGCCAGCAGCAACATGTCGCTGACCAGCTGGACGGCCAATCCCATGCATGTCGGCATCCCGCCCCCCGTCGATCGCAGCACCAAGCCGTCGCAGCAGCAGCAGCAGCAGGCTCGCCCGCGTCTGAGCATGCGCAGCCACACGATCAGCGACTCCAGCGGCTACGAGTCCAGGCCGCTGGCGCAGCTGCTGCGTCAGAATACGGCGGAGGCGCCAGCGCTGAGCGCCAGTCGCCAGCAACAGTTGCAGCGGGAACAGCAGCAGCAGCAACAGTTGCTGAAACAGCAGCAATTGCAGCGTGAGCAGCAGCAACAACAGTTGGAGCAGCAGCAACAGTTAAAACAGCAGCAACAATTGCAGCAACAGCTGCAACAACAGCAACAGCAACAGTTGCAGCGGGAACAGCAACAGCAACAATTGCAACAGCAACAGTTGCAGCGCGAACAGCAACAACAACAGCTGCAACAACAGCAACAGTTGCAGCGGGAACAGCAAAAGTTGCAACAACAGCAACAGTTGCAGCTGCAACAACAGCAGCAGCAACAGTTGCTACGGGAACAGCAACAACAACAGCAACAGCAAAAGTTGCAACAACAGCAACAGTTGCAGCTGCAACAACAGCAGCAGCAACAGTTGCAGCGGGCGCAACAGCTCAGCGAGCTGCGTCGCAAAAGTCTCGGCAATGTCTCGTCATATAAATCCTCCGCGCCCGCCGATACGCCGGACATTGTCAAGTCGTCGCTGCCCAAAGAGCAGGCGCCGCTCTTGAAGAAATTCGGACCACCCCAACGGCATCATTATGTGCCCAATGCGTATCAGAGTCCGCAGCTGAACAAGCAGCAGCAGACAATCAGCAGCAGCCAGCACATCAGCAGCAGCAGCAGCAGCAGCTGCACCGCCAGCTTTGTGGCACAGCAGAAGCCGCTCATTGTGGAGACGCCCGCGACGCCGCAGCCAACAGTTGCCGGAGCTGCTGCCGCTGAGCCCTTGCCGGAGGATCAAATACCACGCAACATAGTCTTTAATAATGTGAGCGCGTTTAGCTCGCTCAGCCGACGCAGCCTGGACGAGGAGCACCACCAGCAGCAGCTGGTCAACGGCGGCTCCAGGCTGAATCGCCTCAGCAAATGTGATTCGTGGCATCAGATCTGTCAGCAGCAGACGCAGACGCAGCTGCAGTCGACAACACAACAGCAGCAGCAGCAGCAACAGTTGCCGCGGTTCGGGCATGCGCCCGGCGAGCTGAGACGCACCAAATCCGGCCATTCGCTGGCCGTGCCCAAGCTGTACGAGGCGGGCATCGACAAGGAGCAGCTGGGCGAGAAACAGCGCACGGTAGCTGCCTATTTCTCTGGCCAAAAGTCGCCCACGGGCGCACACCTCGACGAGCTGCGCACCACAACAACAACAACAACTGCAACAACATCTGCAACAACATCCGCGAATCGCAAATCGGCAATAAATCGCACCAAGACCAGCGAGAAATTGTCGGCGGCACGCAAATCGCTCAGTTCGCTTAATTCCACCTCAAATGGTAATGTGTCGACGGCGGGACTTGGCCTCAATTTTGGTCTGTTGCGTGCTGCTGGTGGTGCAGCAATTGGCGGTGGTGGTGGTGGTGGTGCCGTTGGCGGCGGCGGCGGACTCAGTCGCAGCGCGACAATGCCGCATATGGCGCATCTCAATTTGCTGGACGAGAGCAATGTGGAGGATGCGTTCGAGCAGCTCATGCTGGGCGCCTAAACTGCCAGCTTGTGCGACAAATCGATAGTTCGATAGGTCGATAACTCGTTTGATTGTTAGACACACACACACACACACGAAACAGACACACACACACACACAGCAGCCATTCCAGTTTGAGCCGCCCAGCGAGACGCAACTGGACACAACAAACGACACACACTCGCACACACACCAACACACCAACACACACACTCACACGAAGCCGAACTGTTACTGTACTGATTACCGTTTACCGTTATACCATTTATCGATAACTGTTTCAAAAACACGCTACTTTTGAGCGTAGGCTTAGGGTTTTTTTTTTGTTTTGTTTTTTTTTCCCCCCGCCCAGTTTCTAGTCAGCGAAACGTTCCAATTCCGTTTCGTTCCGTATTTGTTTTTTTTTTTTGTTTGCGGCGAGTCTCTGAGTTTAGTTGGAGGGACCACATGCGGGCTTTATTTTGCTTACCCTCACACACACGCACTCCCACACACGCACACACACACACTCACAGCCCGAGTTAGCTGCGCTGCCCAACCGCAGGATGCCATAAAGAATTATGAAAAACAGCTGCAATTTTAAGAAAGTCACTACAAATGAGATCAAGAATCAACCGCAGCCGCAATTCCGAGAAGAACTTGAAACGTTTTACGATTTGTGAGTGAGAAACAAATAAGAAATGAAAATGAACAAAAAAAAAAAAAAAAACCATATCACACACCAACTGTACAAAATGCCCAAAAACAGCGTTGCCACCTAGTTGTTCTTTTTTATAGCGCGCGTTCCATGTACTACCATTTGCTACACCCGCCCGGCCTAACTGCACCCAAATACCCTATATACATCTATATATATATTATTATATAATTTATTTTCACACATTTCTTTTTATACATTTTTTCGTATATTTGTTTTCAAGCGTTTTTTTCTTTATTAAATCTTTTTTGCCTGCCCCCAAGTCCCAAGAAACTGTACAAAGTTAGCTAGCGCTTTAAACGTTCTTAATTCCATTCCGTTCCATAACGTTTCATTGCCGTTTCGTTTCGTTTCGTTCCATTGCCGTTGCGTTGCGTTGGCTGTTTGAGATTTGGTTGGTTGGTTGGTCCAGCGTAAACAAAACACTTTTTACACACACGCAAATCCCATGTTGTCCCTCCTCGCTCTCGCTCTCTCAATCTTTCACTCTGTGAGTCTCTCTCTCTCACTCTCTCTCTGAATCTCTATTTGTACATACACTATAAAAGCCCGCCCCGCCCACAGAGTTTAGCCTCCTTCTAGCATATATATTTTTGATTATTGTCACAGCTCAGCTGCCCAGTTAGCTGTGCTGGCTCTTTCACGCTTTCCACACGCTCTTTTCTTCGCATGTTGATCGTTTTTTCTTTTTTTTTATAAGAGTATTGTGCATGTCGTAGTAGCTTGTAAGTTTATTGTACTCGCAACGCCCATACAGAGAGTTGCACCGCCAACAGCACCACCAGCGCCACGCCAGAAACCAGATACCAGACACCAACCACCACAAATGCCAACGCCAACAGCTGAGAGCGATCGCGACTATATTTCGTTTTTACATTTAACTGTTTATTATTTTGACGTTTTGTTGCGTACTGTATGTTTTGTGGAACGCGCGGCATGAAACAGCCGTTTGACAGCGTTGCCAGATATGCGCGTGTTGCCATCGTTGCCATTCGTTGCGCCGGCTTCTTTTATTTTTAAGCGCTCACATTTTTGACTAAAAACACACACAAATTCAAAACAGGAAAAAGTGATTTGCAAATGCCATTTTCCGCGTGCTGTTGTTTCGTTTCGTTCGTTTTCGTGTATAGCATACAATTTGTTGCCTGCCTCTAGACTAGACTAAGACAAGATACAAAAAAAAACCAAAAAAAAAAAATACAAAAAATAATATAAACAATTTTATTAATCTTTCTAACCTTATTTTTCACCCAAAACATTTTTCAATAACTTCTTTAACTACTTACATCATGATGTTGATTGAAATGATTTGATGTGCATGCAATTTCGACTAATTGTTGTAATTATTGCTTACTTTTTTTCTCCCCTGTTTTTGTTTTTCATTTCATTTCCCAACCAACAACAATTCGTCTAAAACCTTTCTTCATACAGCACAACACAAGCAACAAAGCTCAACGACCAGTGAACGCACCGAGACGAAGTCGAAAGATGGCGGCGCAGTTGTCACCACAACAACAACAAAAGGTATCGATATCGATAACAGCTCACAAATATCAAGTATAAAAATGCAACCCTGTTTCTTGATCCATTCACAGTTACCACACGCACTGTGAGCGGCAGCGCTGCCTCCAAGAACATCTCGCCGCTGGCCAAATTCAAGCAGCTCGACAAGGCAGCTGCCCAGCAGCAGGCTCAAAAGTAAGCTAACAACTACATACATATACATATACATATATACATATATACATATATACATATATACATATATACATATATATGTATATATATATCATAATATTATATTGTCCAGTACATATATACAAAAAACAAAGAAGAAAACATACTGTAGAACGTATCAAGAGGAAAGCTAACAAAATGTTGCTGCACAATTTTGGCCAACGTTTACCAACACTGAACAAAGATTGTTGAGTTCAAAAATATAAAAGGGAGACATTTTGTTTTGCTTTCCTTTTGCACACACATTTTTGGTGCAGGTTCACATCCAACACACACGCACAGTAAACACACACACACACACACACACACACACACACACATACGCACCAATACATGTACACATTCACTAGTTTCACCTTATTTTTTATGCCCATTTTCTGGTGTTGGTGGTCGGCAACATAAATGTCTCTTGTGCCTCTAGGTGAAGTTCTTAATGTTTTTTGGGTAAATTGTAAACTGTTGAATTGCGTTCCTTGTGTATATTAATGTGTCCTTGTCTTGCTCTAGCCTACTGGGTTTGCGCACGCAGCTCTCTCGCTCCCTCTCACTCGCTCACTCTCTGTCTCTGTCTCCCTCTCTCTCTCTCTCTCTCTTTTTTTGTGTCTCTGTCTCTGTCACGTTTCCTTACGCACCTGTCGTCTCTTCAATACCGAAAAACTTTAGACAAACACACACACACACACACGAAAAAGAACCGTTATGCCATATCTGACTTATTGTAAGAATAATATAAATAATTATTGTTGTTTCCCTCTCTAACACAAGCCCAAATCCCATACACACGCACACACACACACACACATAAACACAAACTAAACAACTCGAACACCCCAATCACATACAAGAGTACAAAATTTATGTATAAAAAATAAAAGAAAACACAAAAAAAAACAAAAAAAACAATCTAAGACAAAAAAAATAAATACAAATTGTGTGAGTTTCGCTAAAACGTCTGCCCCTCCAACCTTGAATCATTTGTTCAGATCATCTCCAACAACAAGCACACCCACGACCCCCGGCGGTTCAGCACAACCGTTATTCAAATTTACCGATCCGGCATTAAATGCGCGCGCCGCCACTGTCAAGGATCAACTTCTGCAGTGGTGTCAGCACAAAACGCAGGAATATGAGGTATCCAAATCCTAAAAAATACCACAAAATACCAACAAAACGCAAAATACCAACCAACCAAAAAAAAAAAAAAAAAAATTATGATTATGATTAAAAAACAAACAGCCAAATGCAAACGCAAAGCCACAGCCACATTGACCGTTATTTGTTGCCTTTTCTTTGTTATTATTGAAATATTTGTTTTTGTTTTTTTTTTATTTTTGATTTTTGATTTTGTTTGCTCTCGTTTTACTACTATTTTGTATTTGTATTTGTATTTTTACTGCCGTTCGTTTTCATATTGCAAATAATTTTTAACAAATTCTAACGCTTAGAGACCCAACAAAACAAAAAAAGAAAAGAAAACCAAAATCAAATAACCAAAAAAAAAAAACAAAAGCGTAAATACAATAACTAAACAACGCCTAACCGCTGGCTGAGCTTTTGAGCAACACTCATCTACACATGCATACACACAAAATACACACACACACAGAGAGACATACACACAAGCAAACACGCAACTAGAAAGAAATAAAACCGTTATAAACGCACGCAAGCAGCCTGGGATTGGCTGAAAGTCTGTGGATGAAGTCGAGGCAGAGGAGTAAGAAGCAGAAGCGCAGCTTTTACTCTCATTTAAAGCAACTGTAAACGTTGCTCACATATATCTACACTGCTTTTTATACTTATTATTATTAATATACATAATTACTATTGTTGTTGTTGCTGTCGTTGTTGTTCTTGCCATTTGCTTTTGGGGCTGGAGCTTACAGCAAATAATACTACAAAAAAAAAAAAAAAAACAAACAAACATTGCTTTATTGCTGCTGCTGTCGCTGCTGCTGCCGCTGCTGCTGCTGCTGCTGCTGCTGATGATAATAAAAAAGAAAAGATTTTAAGTTCAAAGCTGAGCTGTTTTATGCCCGCTCTACCCAACGCCCCGAATGCCCCGCCCTCTGCCCGTTTAAACAGGAACAAAAAAAACGCACTTATTACAATTTCTTTCATCCATGTTATTCGCAGAACGTCCAAATAAGCAACTTTAGCTCGAGCTGGTCAGACGGCTTGGCCTTTTGTGCGCTGATACATCATTTCTTGCCAGATGCATTTGACTACAGTAAACTAACCAAACAAACTCGCAAACATAACTTTGAGCTGGCCTTCAGCGTGGCTGAGTAAGTTTCCTCTATCTGCCGTTTAACAACACTGGCCAGCTGTTAACTAACACACTCCCTCTCTCTCTCTCTCGGTCGCTCTCTTTAGCGAGAAAGCTGGCATTGCGCCCTTGCTGGATGTGGAGGACATGGTGGAGATGAGTCGGCCCGACTGGAAGTGCGTCTTTGTCTATGTGCAGAGCATCTATCGCCGTTTCCGCAATTGCCAGTAAAAGCAGCAACAACAACAACAACAGCAGCAGCAAGAACAACAACAGCAGCAGCAGCAGCAGCAGCAGCACGTGGCCTACAATAACTGTTCATTAAATTTTAAGCAAAAGAGAAAGAAAGAAAATGCAAGCCCCTCTTCAGGCAAATTTGTAGACCTTTTGGCATTTCGTGTTGGAAGAAGACACGCATCCTCCCACATAACTATATCCCATATATATACCCTATAAATAACCCAACATTTTTGATGCATATATTTTAACCACAAATGGCAGGCTCGTCGCATTGAACAGCAAACGGGACATTTTGTACGTTTTTTGTGTTTGTTTTTTTTTTTCTTTATATTATTTTATCAATTTTTTTTTTTTTACTATTATTATTATCATTATAATTATTATTATTTGTTATTGAAACTAAATACTTATGCAATAATTGTTGAATTTTTTTTGTCATAATCTTAATTATAAATGGAGCAAAATGGAGCAAGGCGCAAACTTTACTAACCCCGCTGAGTTTTGATAAGAGAGCGAATCGATACTACGAAACGATACTACTCGATTCCCCTCCGCCCCTACCCCCAATCTACCAGCGCAAAATACTACTCAATCTTCGAAGCGAGCAAAATTATACGAACAAATTACTAACTCGCAGCAGCGGCAAGCGAAATGCGATATCAACATAAAAATATTATTGTATCTACAGCTAATATTAACATTGAACAAAAAAAATACAAGAAAAAAAAACAAAAAAAAAAACTTGATAATTTGTCTTTTTATTGATCTATTCATTATAAGAATTTATTAAAGCAATTATATAGCTTTTTTTTAAAGTTGCAAGTTCATTCAAAGAGTTTTTAAATTGGAAAAATTCGTAGGGTATCATACCGCACATATTTAACCAGCAACTTGTTTACCCTTGCAAAGGGTATTTTGATTTTGTCACTGTCAACAGTCGAACTTTCTTTTTTGAATGGAAAACATTTCTGTTTTCCAAGTCATCTTACTTATAGAAACCGTTTCAAGCCACATTTTTACAGGGTATTCATTTATATGGATGCATTTGTACAGGGTATTCAATATACAAGATTCTTCCACTTTCGTTTATTTTAACATTTACATAGATCTTTTAATTTTTTGCCTGTTTATACCCTGCAACCATTGTTTATGGGAAAAAGGGGTATATCGTTTGTGTGCAAATACGATAAAGACTTGAATTTGAAAATGATTCATGTATCATATCGATATCTCCTCCCATTTTCATAAGATCGATAAAAGTCGAGCTATAGATAAGTAAAGGCATAGAAAGATTGTGAAAATTCGCTGTAAATTCGATTAAGATCGGACAATGAGAGCCGACGCTATGCAATAATATACTATTCCCATAGTCTGGAGCATGTGAGCGTGTGTGTGTGTGTTTGTTGTCTTCTCTATGTATGCGTAAAAGAAAGCTAGAAGGTTTGTAGTGGTAGGGTATCTGCTAGTCGGGCACTGCCAACAAGCGCACTCTTATTCAAATTTCAAATGAGATACGCTTAATTGTTGCTCTAGAATATATATCTATAGACCGTCACCTGACAATGCAACAAAGCATTACCTTAAAATTGTGAGGTTATGTTGAACAAAGAGCGTAAATAGTGAGGTTATGTATTATATATTTTGGATAGTTGGCATGGGGGCAGCTGTCAGCCGAAACTAATCTCAGCCATGCTGTGAAAGTCGAACATTAAGTTTTGTGTAAGGTATTGTGTAGGGTATCTAAGGGCCAGGAAAACTGCTAAAGAAGGCCATACGAGAGAGCAAGCGAGAATGCTTTCTGGAACTATGCCACCCAGCCGAATATGATCCTTGGGGCAAGGCATATAAGACCGTCGTCAAAAGACACTCGGCCAGCAAGAAAACGCTGCCTTCTGATCCGAGTGAGCTTGATTTGATTGTGGAAACGCTATTCTCAATCGGACCTGACTATTCGCTTTCAAGGTTTCTGTTAACATTCCTGGAGTGTTACTTAACAGAATGTGGAAACTCTTACTGTTAATACATACAAAGTTAAGGATCAAACTTGAGCGTAATGTTAACATAGAGCGGTTAACAGTAGTATGTTAAGTGACAATCAGCTATCCCTAATTAACATTTTGAATGTGGAAACTCTTACTGTTAATAGTTAAAGTCAAAGTCATTGAGTAATCAATATACAGAGGAGGCTTTTGGATCAAAAGCTCTTTTTCAAAAAATGTGAAGCAAGATATAGAGATTGCAAACACAAATAGGAAACACAACACCCAGCTGCCGTTGCCCAAAAATTCAAAGACGACTTCAGAACATTTGCCATTAGAACCAACGACAACCATAATCAAAACAAATGACTCAACAATGAAAAAAGCACACTACAAATTCGGTCCTTGCTATCCCTTTTTGGTTTGAGGCTAGAGCAAAGCACCCTTTCTGAAAATAGGGTATTTCAACTATTGATCAGTGCCGTAACTAAATAGCACGTATAATTTCGTATTTAGTGTGCAACTATTAGTACAATCAATAATTGTTTTCTTTAAAAAAACGAGAAAGAAGTGCTATCTTCGACACGCCGAAGATTTAATACCCTTGCAGACCCAACCTTTTCATAATGCTCACAGACAGGGAAAATAGTTAATGCCGATTATGGTTAGGATATCTTGAAAAAAATAAGGTTTCCATACAACAACTTAATTTTCGACCGATCGTTCCTATGGCAGCTATATGATATAGTAGTCCGATTTAAACAAGATTTTGCATAAATGAAGGGAGCATAGTAAAACTTATAAATACCGAGTTTGGTCAAGATATCTTGAAAAACAAAAAAGTTTTCCATACAACAACTTAATTTTCGACCGATCGTTCCTATGGCAGCTATATGAGAAAGTTGCCCGATGTTAATAGGATTTTGCATATATGTGAGGAGCATAGTAAAACTAATAAATGCCGAGTTTGATCAAGATATCTAAATAAACAAAAAAGTTTTTCATACAAGAACCTACTTTTCGACCGATCGTTCCTATGGCAGCTATATGATATAGTGGTCCGATCCAGCAGACTCCGACATATGTACTGCGTGCAACAGAAAGAGGCACTTCTGCAAATTTTCATAAGAATTGCTTTCAAACTGAGAGACTAGTTCGCATAGAAACAGACAGACGGACAGATGGACAGACGGACAGATGGACAGATGGACAAACGGACATGGCTTTATCGACTCGGCTGTTGATATTGATGACGAATATAGATACCTTATGGGGTCGGAGATGTCTCCTTCTATGCGTTACACATTTCACGACAAAATTATAATACCCTCTGCAAGGGTATAAAAAACACACACCCTAAATTTTTAAACTTTTTTGAAGCTCACCTGCCTAAAATAAATAGAGAGAAAAAAAGAGATTTTTATCCATAATTTCGATTCTGGTTTATGTTGAATACTTACGAACGTCACGTGCGGGTTCCTTTAGAGAATCTTATAAGTGTAGAAAATTGAACATTTTTGTTGGGCTGGCAAATAGAGAACTGGAGCTGCAGCCGGGTGAATGCGATATCTTCAGGCGGCTGTGTCAAGTGGAAAACTTGACCGACTGGCGGCGGCCAATATTGATCCAGTTGCCTGTGACAAGACGTCACAGGAAAAGTTGTTTGTTGACTTTGGGCCTCAATTAGGCATAATGAGCATACAGTTAGGGTATATGTATAAAGTGTATATATATATATGGGTGTAATCGGGCGTGTGAGATATGAAAGGCTGGCCAGGTGCTCAGCTGTTGCGGATGTGAGAGCTCCTCCTGACCCAAGCACCTAATGTCAATGCTGCGGCGGCATTTGTACTGGCTGCGCGTCCGCAGTTAAGCAACTTTTTTCGGGCACAACGCACCGCACGATGAACATCAGCGGGCTGCTCCAGTTCGAGTCGATGGACTATCGGGGCGCACAGACCCAGTCGGCGTCCATAAATCAGTTTGTGGCCAGCGCATTGCGCGTCTTCATCGAGGACTTCTATCAGCGTGTGGCGCCATCGTTTATGCTAATCATCTCGTGCCGCCGTCCCAGTCCCATGAACTTCTATCGCAACATAATGCAGCTGCTGTACGAGAGCGTCGACAACATGATCCTCCAGCTGATCCAATACAATCACACACAGCCGCAACGCATTGCGGGTCCACGTTTACACAATCTGCTGCTGGTCGATTCGCTCCAGGCATTGCTGTAGGTGGCGGGTTTGTCGGCTAACGCGAACCTGCAACGACAATAAAGTGCTTTAATACCCTGTTCATAACGTGCATAACGGGAAATATACCATCTCTTTCTTTGTGTTATACTCGTGTCCAGCAACGTGTTAAATCCATTGGCCATGCCCTGTCACAGTCTTAGCATCATTAGCCCAGACAGAGTCTCCATTTTTGCGAATATATATAGCTTATGGTGTAGGAGATGTTTCCTTCTGCTCGGGTATAAAGCCATATTTGTTTAGCACCCTCTCTGACTTTCTTTCTCTCTCTCTCTTTCTCTCTCTCTCTCTCTCTCTCTCTCTCTCTCTCTCTGACTTTCTCACTCTCGCTCTGGCAGGGACATTGAGATCCACACGTATACTGGCCGGCACGATGGCAGCGAGTATTACTTCATCTTTCTGCAGCAGCGGGATGCACTGCTGCCGCTGGAGCTGCAGGGCGTGTTCGAGTATTGCTGGCGGCATCAGCTGCTCAATTGCAATGTGATGACCCAAAGTGGCGGCGGGGACGTGCTGATGCACACCTATTTTCCGTATGCGGCGACACACTGCGACACGGTGCTGGGCCAGCAGATCAATCGCTTTATGGGCGTGGCCTGGCAGCAGCCGGTATACTTTCCGGCCAAGCTGCACAATCTGCATGGCTGCCCGCTGCAGGTGCTGTTGCGTGAGGTGACGCCGTTTCTCAGCGTTAGCCGTAGTGAGCCTGGGCTGGAGGATCGGCTGCTGCAGGAGCTGGCCAGGCGCATGAATTTCGCGATCCAACTGGTGGATAACCCTGGACCCTGGACGGAGCCGCAAATGCTGCAGCTGGTGAGTGCTATGTATATATGGCTAGACATGAACAATATTCAAATGCAAATCCTGTGCAGCTGCAGCAGAGACGCGCCCATCTGGCCATTGGATATATACGGAAACGTGTGGTGCATGCCGCCAATCTGACAGCCGTCTTTCCGCACTATTCCAGCCGGCTGATCAGCTGCCTGTCGATGAATGCGCACAATTTGACCAGCTTTGAGCTGTTGGGCTTTCCCTTCCAGACGCTCGCCTGGCTGGGCGTGCTGACCAGCTTCCTGGGCGTTAGCTGTCTAATGCTGTGCACGCGACGACGTGTGGCCAGGGCAACGGTGCTGCTCGCCGTGGTGGCGATTGCCTGGGGCCAGCCCATTGTCTCGTCCGGCTTGCGACCCGCCCAGCAGCTGGTCTACATCAATTGGCTGGGCTTCACGCTGCTCGTGCGCGCCATGTACTCGGCTTTGTTCTATCATATGCTGCGCCAGCAAGTTCATCAACGTTTGCCCCGCAATCTGTTCGAGCTGATGGAGGGCAGCTATACGGCTGTGATGAATCGCATAACCGCCCAGGATGTGGGCGAGGTGAGCAGCCTTCAGGTGCTGTTGGGCAATATGCGTGCAATTGTCCTTGCCAGCGATGCGGAGCACGATGTCCTGGAGCAGATGGAGTCGCGAACAACGCAGCCGCGCATCTTTGGCATACTCTCGCGCCAGAGCCTGCTGCATGCGGCACAGCGTGGCCACAAGCCGGGCGCCTACTATATGCTGCCGCAGCACGTGCTCGAGCAGCAGCTGGCCATCTATCTGCAGAAGCATTCGCATCTGGTGCAGCGGCTCGATGAGCTGATCATGTCCATTCAGGCGGTCGGCCTTATCAACTACTGGGCCGGACAGCTGGGCAGCGAGCGCTATTTTCGCAGCACATTCATGTATCGGGACAATCGGCTGCGTCAGCCCGATCTTTGGGCTCTCTATATCATTGTCGGCGTGCTCTACGCCCTCGCCACGCTCGTCTTCATCTGGGAGCTGCTCTCGGCGCGCTGGCGTCCCGTCAAGTAGTCGCTTTTCATTTGCAATTCGAAAATAGTTCACATTTCAAAGTGAAAATAAAAAAGAAGAGAGGGCAACACTGTTTCTTTTTTTTCACTGTTCGATATCGATAACATCCCTGTTATCGTTGTTAGTATTAATTGTTGCTGAAAGTGCAATTGCACGGTGTGTGGTGGAGGAGGGGGGGGGGGGGGGGTGGTGAATAAATGAGCCTAGCTTGACAGAAAGAGGAAGATGGCAAACAGTTCGAAAATATGGTCGAAACGTGTTCGATAACGATAACAGCTATCATCGATGACGATTTAAATCGTTTGTTTTAATGCATGTTCTTCTTAGAGTTTATTTTGCAAATCACAAAGGTTTTCAATTAAATGCTATACAAATAATAGGCAAATACAAATAGAAAATGAGAGTAAAAAACAGTTTTAATGTTCGATAACGATAACGACGATGACGATAGCGGGCGTCATCGATACAAAATTTTAATAAATGCAGTTCTGGCTTTGCTTAGTTTTTCGAATTTTTCATGTTGTCTCTGCCGCCTTAGAGCTTCTCGAGCAGAATGGAAGAGGCGCCGCCGCCGCCATTGCATATGGAGGCGCAGCCCAGTTCGCCGGCTTTGAGGGCATGCGCCAGATGGGTGACCAGACGCGCACCAGACATGCCAATCGGATGGCCCAGAGAGACGGCGCCGCCGTGTATGTTCACCTTGGCGGGATCGATGTCCAGTTTGCGTATGTTGGCCAGCACGACCACGGAGAATGCCTCATTGATCTCCCACATGGCGACATCCTCTTTGCGGACACCGGCACGCTCCAGCAGCTTGGGCACCGCCAATGCGGGCGCAATTGGGAAATCAATGGGATCCGTTTCGGCATCCTGGAAGGCGACAATGCGCGCCAATGGCTTGAGGCCGGCACACTTGGCCGCCTCGGCGGTCATCAGGACGACAGCGGCGCCGCCATCGTTCAAGGTGGAGGCATTGCCGGCGGTAACGGTGCCATTCTCTTTTTGGAACACCGTCGCCAGCTTGCCGAATTTCTCAAAATTGACGCGCTTGAATTCCTCATCCTCGTCAATGATCTGCTCTGGCTTGCGCTTAAGCTGAATTTTCACGGGAACAATTTCATCGGCAAAGACCTTGTCGCACCAGGCCTTGGCCGAACGCTTGTACGATTCAATGGCAAAGTCATCCTGCTCCTGTCGTGACACCTGCATCTTCTTGGCGGTATTCTCGGCACAGTTGCCCATATGGAACTTGTTGTAGACATCCCAGAGGCCGTCAAAGACAATGCCATCGGTTAGATTGACGCCGCCGTAGGGCGTCGCACCGCGCTTCAAATAGTATGGCACATTCGACATGGACTCCATGCCGCCGGCGACAACGATATCAGCCTGGCCGAGCATCAGCGACTGGGCGCCGAGCATAATCGATTTCATGCCCGATGAGCACACCTTGTTGACGGTGGTGCAGCAGACGCTGGTGGGCAGGCCGGCAAAGATGGCTGCCTGGCGTGCCGGCGCCTGGCCGAGACCGGCGGACACAACATTGCCCATGATCACCTCAGTAACATTGTCCTTGCCAATGCCGGCACGCTGAATGGCCGCCTCGATGGCCGTCGCACCCAGCTGTGAGGCAGATAGCGGCGCCAGCTGGCTCTGGAAGCTGCCGATCGGTGTCCGTGCGGCGGACACAACAACAACATCGCTGATCTTCGAGCTGTAGCGACGCGCCTGGGCCCACAACTGGCGTCTGGTGGCTTTCAACATGGCGCTAGATTGTGAATTTATATAACCGACTGCTGCTTGAATCGAACGATCACTGGAATATTACCACCGGACCTGGTACCTGGATCACACTTGCAATAATATTAATGCAGAGAACCTGTTGCTATCCACTTGCGTAACGAGCCAATCGCGTGTGATCAGCTGTTGCAGACAGTGTTGGAAAGTCGCCTGTTTGCAAGCTTTTAAGTTGGTGTTTTTTTTTTTTTTTTTGTATTGCTAATTACTGAAAATTTAGTATTTTTGCTTGTCATACGTCTATTTGTTTTAAATGCTGCTTTGCCTTAATATAGAATAATGCTCGTAATTGTTGTTAATCATTATGGCTTATGCAGAAGCACCTTTGCAATAATGGTTTAAATTCATTATTGAACTTAGTATTTTCCATAACAGATCAGTATACTTTCGGAGTAAGCCAACACATGTACGATTTGGTTTTTAGTATTTCTTAATACCAGGCGATATTTTTTCGGAATGTTTGAAAACACATTATTTTTGCTTTCATTATAAAAGTAAGTAGAGCACTTAATTTTTCAATAAAAACATAAATTACTCTTGAATATTAAGTATATGTTAATGTTAGTTAAAAAACCAATTGATAGCCGAATAGATGACATTTGTAAAGCATAGCAAATATGCCAAATATTTAATATGCAATTTAAACAGACGTAGTGAATTTCTCAACATTTTTTCTAGTTTATTTTTGGTATTTGAGCATTTGCGGCCGACGGTCACACACTTCTTGTAACTGCAAAACAATAACAAAAGCAGACGGCAGACAAACACTACTTTGCCGCCTGCCGCCTGCCGCCAACCGCCCGCTCGCCCGCGCGCTCTCGCTCTCAAATTCCTGGTTCTGGTTCTGATTCTGGCTCCGTTTCTAGCCCGCTGCTGTGTTGCCAATTATCGTTGCATCCAGCCATCGCGTCGTCTTGGCCTTGTGCTCGAGCAGTGTTGTGTGTGTGTGCGTGTGTATGTCTGTGTGTGTGTGTGTGCGCGCAAGAACAGCGTTTATTAATTTTTTCTTTACGTTGCACCCATGTGAATCCAAAATAGTTTTTTGTAACTTTTCTTATGTGTAACTAACAGAAACACACCAACAAAACAGTGAACGCGAATAAAGCATGTGCATAGCATAGGTATAATTTATATTTATAAAAAAAAGAAGCAACAAAAGGCACTAAGCATAAAAGCAACTGAAGCGCGACAGCCACGGCAGTAGAGACGGACAGAGACGAGGCAGACGGACCGACGGACCGACGGACGGACGAACGAACGAACAGACGGACAGGCAGCAAGGCAGGCGAAAACTGGCGCAGCGTGAAAGCGAGCGAGATAGCAAATAATCACATTAAAGCAATATTTAATACTGCACCAGATTTTAGCTAATTATAAGATACCAAGTTATAGTTCAAATTCAAATCAATACGCTGCGAAAATCAGAGTTGTGCTTATCACGCAACAGTAGCAGCAACAACAGCCAAAAAAGTATTACATACCAATACAAACAAACGACGACTCACACGGACGAACGCACGCACGCATTGTTGCGCCCACTTCAAAACAAGAGCAAAATAGCGCCACCAACAACAACTTAACGAAAAGACAGATAGAGAGAGAGAGAGTGTGTGTTTGTGTGAGCGCAAAATCCCCGCGTCAATTTTAAGCTCCAACTTCGGCTTAAGCTTCCACAGCTCCAGCAGCAACAACTACAACAATAAAGAAGAGAGATAATCATGGTAAGTTCGCAGCTGACGTCGTCGCGCGCCTTTTTAGACTAGCACCAAATGCGGCAATGGCAGCAACAACACCCACACAAACGCAGACGCCGTTGGCGGCGCAGCCTCGCTTGAATTCAAAAACACAAAATTCGTTTTCAGTTAACCCACTGATTTGTTGCCCAACGGTTTTTCGTTTTTAATTAAGCGCAGCATTATTTGCATTTGTGTATGTGCCTTGTGATTGCTTTTGTTTTTGGACAGTACACAAATTAAAGCTCAGTAAAACGGTTAATTGATTACTCATCACAGCAGCCCAAGTCTACCAGCCCAGCAGTATTGTGTTATCTATCAAAAGCGTGCAGTGCATTTAAACAGGGTGCCTCAGGGAGTCAAGAAATTCACCACTTTTATTTTACAAGCGTGACCCATTTTGATTACAATACACTTACATGTGCGTATGTATGTATGCATACCCTCCCCGCCTCCCGCTGATCATGCAGTTCCCCTGTAATATGATATTGTCGCGTATTTCAACAAGATTTAGATAAGCTTGTGTACTTGAATTGCCTCAGCTCTAATTTGTGTGTATATGTGTGCATTGGAGGATATTTTCAATTATGGAAACACCTGAAACTTGTGAATCATCAAGCGATTGAAATCAAATACCGCAATATATGTTAATTTCAGGTCTTGAATTCAAGAAAATTGCTCAGCACAATATGCAAATAGTCTTGCGGTATTCGTGGTGATTCTACAACTGAAATATTTCATTAAATTAATGTCCCATTTGGGAAATTTATATTTATTGTTCCCTGTTGTTTAAATTGAGTTCTTCAAGCGAATTTGCGAGTAACTACTGTAGCTGTTAAACCCTCTCTCTCTCTCTCTCTTTCTCTCTCATCTAACAATAGCTAAGTTATCCATTTGTTGTTTCTTGGCTTCTGAGTGTAGGAAGAACAAGTGCGATTTAAGATTCTAACAGGAAATCTAAACTCTTTTTGCTGACAAAGATATGAAAATACAGAAAAGCTCGACCATTTACAGCATGTCGAAGATTAATTACCCTTGCAGATATATCGCCTGACGGATATGTCGGCATTGTAAAGCTTGTAATTGCTGTGTTTGGTGAAGAGATATCTCATGTGTGTAGAGCATATTGAAAGCAACAAATGTCAAGTTTGGTCAAAAAAAGCCTTTCAAAAAGAACCATTCATGCAAGCACCTAATTTCCGACCAATCATTCATATGATATAGTGATCCGATATTGATAATATGTGAAACTAGTTCATATTCCGACATATGTAAGGGAGTCGAAACTATATACAGGACAGGTCTTTATCGACGCGATATATATACTGATCAAGATTATATACATATGCACATGTGTGTGTATACATGCAAGCATGCAGATGTGCATACATACATGCACACAGGCAGGGACATGCATACATGCACCTACATATGTACAATTATGCATTTATGTAGATACATATATGCATGCAAAC